CCCACTGGGCCTCAGGTCCCCCGACGGCAGCAGCGTTGATGGGCACGTCCTGCCCGGCTCACGGATGGCAGAGAGTCCCGGGAGACGGTGGTGGTGGCAGCGACCCGAGGAACCTCACCCCACTCACACACAGGAGATGGCGAGGACAGTGGCACTGGTGACTGGCGGCAGCCAGCCCTGCCTCCCGGGAGGGACAGCTTCCCGTTCTGATGGCCCCGCCGAGCGCCAGCCGGGGAGCTGAGGACCGCAAGGAGCCCGCGCAGGGTCATCTGCGTGTCCAGCGCCGGCGGCCACTTCACCTGCCGGAATCGCCCAGCCCCCGGCCAAACAACGGGACTCAGGTTCGTTTGCTGGTCTCTCTATTCCACGCACCAGTGTCCGGGAAAAGGTGGTCACTTGGCCAAAGCCACCCGGCTGAGGTGTCCGAACCCGGGTCTTTATTTATGCTAATGAGTCACGCGTGGCAGTAGCGCATTCCAACTTGTCACACCCAGAGGAGCGCGCCTTCGGCCTCTGGCTGTATGCGGTCACGGGGTCCTGGGGTTCCCTTCATTCTACTGTCCTGTCAACCCCATGCCCCCCCCATCACCCAGCTCTGTGCCTCGACTCTTCCCTAGCACCCCCGTTGTGAATCAGCATCAGAGACAGAAGACGTTCAGCCTTTGGTTTGGGGGGGATCGGCTTTGATCTTCTCCAGCTCCGTCTATTTAACCAACAAATGACAACATTTCATCCTTCTTTAAGGCTGAGTAATATTCCATGGCATAGATATACCACATTTTCTTTATCCATTCATCTGTGGAAGGCACCTAGGTCGGTCCCATAGTTCAGCTGCCGTAAGTTGAGCTGCTCTAAACATTGATGTGGCTGCGTCCCTACAGTGAACTGATTTTAAGTGCTCTGGGAATACACCCGGGGTCAGTGGTGGTTCCATTCCAAGTGTTCTGAGGCATCTCCCCGCGGCTTCCCAGAGCAGTGGCACCAGTGTGCGGCCCCACAGCGACGATGAGGGACCCTTTCCCCGCGTCCTGCCTGCACCCTGTTGCTTGTAACCTTGATGAGTGACCTGGGTCCTCGTCCCTCTTCCCCCAGGGCCACGCTCTCTGCTGCCCAGGGACGTCCTCACCCCAGGCCTTTGGGTTGGAATGACCGACCCCATGATGGGGGGCTGTGGCTGGGCAGGGCCAGGGGCTTGCCCACGGCTGAAGCCAGGCCCGTCTCTGGAACCCAGCCGAGCGCTGAGATGAACCTCAACGGCCCCCTTCACAGTGGGGATGGTCAGAGATCCAGGGACGTGAACATGGCTGGTGGGCCCTGGGGCTGCCTTCTAGCCGTTCCTGAGTCACAGTGGAGTCCATCTCACCGTCTGCCAGGCTGACCTGAGATGGGCCACACTGGCTCCTCGGTCACAACCTCTGTCCTTGGCATGTTGGGATCAGGAGGAAATGGGATCCTTTTGCAGCAGGAAGGACTTGGGTTAGATCCCAAAGTGAACTTCCCAGTCAGAATGTCTGGGCTGGCACCAGCCCCTGAGTGAGGCTCAGAAGCTCTTTTTGGGCTTCTCAGCTCCTCTGGCACCGGCCTCTCTATCCCTCTCCTCTGCTCTAAATTTACTGCTCCCTGGGACGGATCCGTCCTACCTAGAGCCACACCGGGCTGCAAACAGCAGGTGTTCAGCGGTGCTTCTGGCTTTCTGGAGACTCGAAGAGCGGCTGTGGTTGGCGGAGGGTGGTGGGAGGGGGGCACGTGCCCGGAAGGGAGCATGACGTGCCCCTCCGTACGCCGCACCCACTCCCTGTGACAAAAGGTGACACCGGCCCCAAGGAAGCCCCGCCCCCTTCTGGGTCTTGGCCCCTCCCCCTTCTGGGTCTTGGCCCCTCCAGAGGCGGCTGTGCTCTCTGGATCCACTCCCCCTGGAAACCCAGGCTGCCCCTGAGAACAGGCCCCGCTGTGAGGCTGCAGCCGGGGCAGGGGCTGAACCCAGGAAGAGGAAGGCCCCAGGTGACCAGGACAGTCCTTGAACACTCAGACCTGCCGGCTCCCGCCAGAGCATGTGACCTTGACCCTGCACCTGGCGCTGCACAAACACACATCAAACAAAGAGGCCTTCATTCCCACAGAGGCCCAGAGAAGTCAGGCAGGCTGTCGCTGTCACACAGCAAAGCAAGGGCCCCTCTGGCTTCAGAGGCCGGCTCTCTGGTCCTACCTGCCTTGGGAGAAAGAGGAGGTGCCAGGCATCTGGGCACTTTCCTTCTCATTTGACCTTGACAGGTTTGATGAGGTAGGCTGTGTCCTTCCTGTGATGTGGACAAGAAAACAGAGAGGTCGAGACACCTGCGGCCCAGCAGCTCAGCAGCCAGCTCTCTACGCGTGAACCAGAGGGCTCTC